CAAACCCCCTATGAACAGTAACTGAAAACCAAGTAAGTTACTAACATTTTTTTTAAAGATATGATTTATCATCCCAAAGATCATGCAATTTTTAATGTAACGGTCCATTAAATTCATTAAAAGATAACTAAAAACTGAAAATTACATATGTACCTTTAATTATTGTCTCTAACTTTTGAATTAACCACGACTATAGATGGTTTCTGATTGGTCCAAAGAAGTTTGTAAAGTTAACATCATTTGTTTGGTTGACAAAAAAATACTCTCTCTCTCTCTCTCTCTCTCTCTCTATATATATATATATATATATATATATATACACACACACAMACACACAYACACATACATATTATATATTTATATACATAATACTAGGGGTGCTCAAAAAACCCGATCAACCCAACCCAACGCTAAATAACTTAACCCGAAGCAACCCCATGTCTAATCGAGTTGTAAAATTTTCAAACCGTAGGTATAGCATTATTATTATTTGAACCCAACTCAACCCGATGAACCCGATATCATTTTATTTCTTGGATTTAATATGATTGTTGAATTTATATTAATATATACATTAAACAATTACATTATCACGTATGCTCTTTACATACATATTTTTTCAATTTATTCACATCTCTATATAACTCATTCATATATATGTTCAGTAACTGTAAACATATATACGTAAATTGAGAAAATTAACTGAATATGATATATGTAAGAAGTATGGATAAGTTATATCAAATAGTTGATGATGAAAATGAAATTATGAGTAGAGAAATAACATCTTCAAGGTTAGAAGAACATTTTAATGTACCAAAGTATCAACCCGATCAACCCACTAACCCGACCAACCCATACGGTTTGGGTTGGGTTGCACTTTTGTTTGGGTTGAGTTGGGTTAAGATTTTTCAAACCGTAAGCATTGGGTTGGGTTGTTCAAATGTCTTCAACCCGATAAATCCAACCCATGAGCACCCCTACATACTACTCCTTTCGTCCTAAAATAATTGTCTACATTACTATTTTAGTTTTGTCCCAAAATAAGTGTTCATTTTCATAAATACATGTTCATATTCCCATTTTACCCTTAATTATGTGATGGAGAAAATTGTTCTCTACAATTAAGGGTAACATGGTACATTTGTTAATTAAAAAGTGTAACAATTTATACTCCTAAAACTGTGTTTTTTTTCCATCATGGACATTTATTTTGGGACGAATGGAATATATAATATGTTTTTTAATCTTAATAGAAAACTAAGAAAATATGTAAAATGACTATAACACCCTTCATTTAATAAGACTTAATGGAAAAAGTTAACTGAAGTTAGGAGGAAGGACACAAATTGTTGGAAATTGACAAATATGAGGGACCAAAACTTAGTTTATGAAGTTTAGGGATGATATTAATTGAAAAGTGCAAACTTTAGGGACCAAAACTAAACTTTTCTCTCTTTTTATAGTAAATTGCGAATTTGGTCACTCTGTGTTTTAATTTTTTTGGTTTTGGTTCCTAGAATTTGTTTATTTCAAAATAAGCCTTAGAGTTTTAATTTCTTAACGATTTGCTCCCTATCACTAACGACCGTTTATTGCCATCTGTTACATTTTGGTTCTTTGCGTTTAATTTTTTGACTTAGTAAATTATAAAACCAGAGGGATCTAAAATTGTAATTACTCTATACACATCCCCTTCTTCCCCGCTGCACTATTGCCTCAAGTCAAACTCTTCAAAAACCGAAAGAAGCACCCCCTCTCCTATAACTCCTGCATCTTCTGACCTGTAACTCTGGCAACCCTCGCCTGCAACTTCGTCTACCTCACACTAGACTAAGCATAACAAGAACCATTGCTCTAACAATGGTGTATCTCTTCCTCTCTCTCTCTCTCTCTCTCTCTCTCCAAATTGACCAGATACAGTACACATATGCTATGTCTCTATCTAAATTGAACAGATCCAATACACATGAGCTACATCTCTCTCTAAAGCAACTCCTATCATCCTCGATCCAAGACCTAACAGTGTATCGTTCCTAATGTTTTTTGAATAACAATGGCTTTCATTTTCAAGAACTGTGATTTTTGAGTTGAGATTAGATAGGGTTTTGATTTTAGTGTTTGTTTAGGGTATTTTTTTTCTTTTGATTGAAGGTTTTTTTTTATTTAGTTTAGAGTATTGGAAATAAATTCATATTTAGTACGTGTTTATTATGTTTGTGCATCTTTTTTATACTTGAATGAAGTTTGCGTGTTTGTTTTAATGGTGGTGGGTGGTGGTTTAGATGGTGTTAGTGGTGGTTTCCAGTGGTGGTTGGTGGCGATTTCGATGGTGGTGGGAGGGGTTGAACAATGGTTAGTGATTGATGGTCGATGGTGATAACTAATAGGTTTTTTGGTTTTTGATTTTGAGTTTTGGTTATTTAGGGTTGTATTTGATTTTGATTTGGGTTTTCTTTGGATTTGCTCTTTATTTTGATTTAGGTTGATTTGGAGTTCAGTTTTGTGTGTATTATGATGTGTTGGCCATAAAAGATGATCGGAGATGGGTTTGGTCGGAGAAGAACACATATTATTTATTTATTTAAACGAGCAAAGGACAAGGATTGAAAGGACCAGTTTACCCCTCGTGTAATGGATAAGAATTAACGGTCGTTAGTGGTAGGGACTAAAACATTATGAAAATACAAACTCTATGGCCTATTTTGGAATAAACAAATTTTGGAGACCAAATCCAAAAAAATTAAAACCACAAGGACCTAATCCATAATTTACTACATTTATTGTTGATTGGGGTTAACTCTTGGATGATAACATACGGACCCAATTCGTAATGAAAAGTAAAAGTTATGGACCATCGATATACTTAATGCATTTGTTAGACTCGATCCAAAATTTCTACCAATAATGTAACTCATTCTAAATATTATTTGAACAATAATTTACAAAAGTAAGTTACAAAAAATCGTCCCTATGATTTACCGGAACTCTATTTTTCGTCCCTAGAGTTTTGAAGTTATCTTAATAACCCTATGGTTTCTATTTCTTTACTAATTTTGTCCTTGTGGTTTACAGTCGTTAGGTTCATCCGTTAAGTGTCTCTCACGTACGAGATTTCAGTCATTTTTAACCTATGGTTTCTATTTCATTACTAATTTTGTCCTTGTGGTTTACAGTCGTTAGGTTCATCCGTTAAGTGTCTCTCACGTACGAGATTTCAGTCATTTTTAATTCTTTTATAAGTCTTTTGTTATACAATTGTTTAAAACTTATGTACAAGTGATTAAAGCATTTAAAAAGAGTAACTGAAAATATATGGTCAACAACATTTTATTTAATTCAAAAGAATATGTATAAATTCATTATAAATACATCTTAAATAATTTTCGCCATTGAAGCTTGCCATGAACAAATGAAATATCAATAATAAATCAAAATCAATAACATCAAGAACGAAATTAAGATCATCAAAAACCTTTTGCATTATTCCTTAAATTCATGAAACACAACCTCAAACCAAAACCCTAAATTCAAGAACATCACAGACATTTCACAAAATGGGGCCATAAGAGGTTGATGAAGATGGGAGGGGCTTGCATCTGCTTCCAGATTCCTCCATCCAGGCTCTTATGCCAATTTGTATCCTCATTTCTGCATCTTGGTTATTTATTCTTGCTCAAATGGGTGTCAAAGGATTCGTTGAAGGTGGGTTTGCATCTGCCGTCAATTTTGGTCAAATGGGGTTTCTTGTTCTTGCTCAAATGAATGTCAAAGGGGGCAGTTGTGTAAGGGGAGGGGGTTGATTTAGGTTTTGTTTTTCAGACGTTTTACCCACTTGTAACATATGCTTTAAAACTTATATACTTGTTCTTTTCTATTAAAGACCATGCAAAATAATTGAAATGCCCACCGACTAGCAATTAGTAAGGGCATTTAACGACTGCTCCTAACGTCTCAGGAACAAAATTCATAACGAAATTCAAACTACAAGAATATTGTGTAATCTCGAAACTCAAAAGAGGAAAACCGTAGTTCTGGTAAACCATATGGACGATTTTTGTTTTACTCTATACGTAAATGGAATTTAACTTGTATAGGAATTTCGAACAATACCTATAAATTGACTAATAATTCATGAAGAACGATATTTTGATCAAAAGTTAAGATGTAAACAATATAAAATACATGTAATTATTACACTTTTTTTTAGTACGAATTATACCATGCACAAAATTACCAAATGTACATATGTTTAATTTTGGTCTATAAAAAACTTCTACAAATACTCAATTGTTCCAAAATAAATATCCACAATTAAAAATTACAATTTTAGAAAAATGTAATTAGTACTTTCTTTTTAAAATGCCAATAATTTATCATAAACATAGCAATACACAGATAAACAAACAAAACTTCAGCAAGACACAGAACCAACCCAAAACAAGCAAACCCGAAAAAACTAAATCAACCAAAACCAAGAGACCCACAACAACCAGAACCGTCTAAAGATAACGCAAAACAAACAACCATGATTTAAACAAAACTACAAAAAACCAATATGAAAAACTAAACTACAAACCCAAATTAATGAAAAACCAACACAATCTTAACCTGGATATCCAATCTGCTATGCGAACCGACTAATCTCAGGGCGACCACCTGGTTTGCAGATAGCCTGGAGTTATCCCGTTTGAACCTCCGTAACCACAAGAAAATTTTTATTCCTTTTTGAATTTAAACCTGGAACCTCGAGGTACTTTTGACCTTAGGACATGACATTGTAATCTATAAAAAAATTGATATATTTGCAGGTTGATGGATAGAAATTCACATGTAATGTAATTGACACAAAAGGTCCTGATTCCTGAATCCATTTTTTAAATTTGAATTTAAAACCTTGAGGCGATAAAATGGGGGCTTCTTTGTACAAGACGGATACTTTTGGCAAGCACTCACAACACTTCTCTCTCTCTCTCTCTCACTCTCTCACATTCAATGCTTTACCAAACACACCAAAACACTCCTACTACTACTACCACTCCTGTTATCTTCCTTTTCTTAACATCTTCAATTATTCTTTTCTCTTTCTTTCCTGCAATTCTCCGGTAAATTTCTCCTTTTTCCGGTTTTCCCCCTTTTCTTTCCCTGTTTCTGTGCTTAATTATAGATTTGGTGTTTGTTTAGGTTCAACAACCAGTCATGGAGTGTGTTGAAGGCGCCTTGAAAAGCAGTTTTATTGGTGTTAAACCCAACAACCATCATCATCCACAGTCCTTTTCCGATGATTTCTGGGCAGGAAATGGTGTCCCCGGCGATGATTTCTTTGTTGACGGTCTTCTGGACTTCTCTGAGGACGGTGACTTCGAGGAAGAAAACGATGTCCTCCTAAATCCACATGATATCAATAACGACAAACCCCTTTCCGTTTCACGCCTGAAACCAGAGAACGATGAAAGTATCGCCGGTTTCACTATCCCGGAGAACGACCTCTGCCTTCCGGTAACAGACTATTTCAAGGAAGTTGAACCGGTTTTTTTTGTTTCTAAAACTTTGTTTCCTTAAAGTGGTATGTTTCTTTTGTTGCAGCCGGATGACGTGGCGGACCTTGAATGGGTTTCTCATTTCGTCGACGACTCATTTTCCGGTGGGTACTCCTTAACATGTCCCGCCGGTAAGTTCCCGGAGAAGAAATCGGAGCCTGAACCGGAAACTATCGTAACCGTAAAGCCTTCTTTCACGTCTCCGGTTCTTACAAAAGCTCGAAGCAAGCGAACTCGTACCGGCGGCCGAGTCTGGTCACGCGGCTCATCTCCGCTCACCGATTCGTCGACTTCAAGTTCCTCCTCTTCGTCTTGCACTTCAAACCCTTGGCTCTTTTTCCACGACTCGAACCAAACCGCCGAGTCAATTTTCGGGAAACCACCGGTCAAGAGACAAAAGAAGAAACACCAAGCGGCGGCAGTCGAGACCGCCGGCGCCGGCCCGCAGCAGCCTCGGCGTTGCAGTCATTGCCTCGTACAAAAAACCCCACAGTGGCGAGCCGGTCCACTTGGAGCCAAAACGCTTTGTAACGCATGTGGGGTTCGTTACAAATCCGGCCGGCTGTTACCGGAATACAGACCCGCATGTAGCCCAACCTTCTCCAGCGAAGTCCACTCTAACAACCACCGGAAAGTTTTGGAAATGCGGCAGAAGAAAGAAGCCGCCGACGCCGGTCTAACACTTCTGGTCCGGAGTTTTTGAAGAAGGAATTAGCTAGGAAACAGAAAAGGAAATTAGAATTGTTAGGAACCCGGTCTAGTTAGTCGGCCCGGTTTGGTGCGGTAGGTTTCTGGTAACCGATTAGTAAGAGACTTTAATGTAACTTTTAATTATTAAAGTTGTATCTCTTATTTTTAGCTTTATTTCTGGACTCGAACTGCACATAACAAAAAGTAAAAGGTAACAATTTGTAAAAGTAATAAAGTATAGGGGTAAGGAATTTCATTATGGTATAAACGAGGGGAGTTAATTGAAATGTGGTGTAAAACCGTGAGGCCGTTGAAAAGCGGAAAATTTATGAGTTTGTGGGGATAATGTTAATGTAGGTAGGGATGCGTAAGATGTTGGTATCCATCTGGGATGTGAGCCGTTGATTTGATGATCGAAGGGTGAAGAGTGATGAGATTGAGGGGGTATCTTTCACACGCCACGAGAAGATTTAAAAAGAAGGGGCCCCAGAGGTTTTGTTGGTTAGGAGGGGTTGTACAGTACAACTTTCTGAGACCTTTGGTTCTTTCTTCACTTTAAACTTCGATACAAATCACGCATCACACCCCTTTTTTTAATCTTTACTTTTTAAATACTAAAAGAATACACCTATAACCTAACAAGATAAATTTTGATTTTAATCTTTTGTCGATGTTATAATACGTTTTATGTATTTTGAGAAAAACGATAATATCGTTAATTTTGAATAAAATATAAATTTGAAAATATCTTACAATTTTGAAAAAAATATATGATATTAGTATCAAATTAATTATTTAAAAGTTCTTGTTTTGTTGTGTAATTTATTTAATTCAAATTTTTTTATTATAATTTAATTTAGGTTTAATAATGAAGTAATATATTTTTAATTTAATAATATATTTTTTATAAAGATAATAATTAAGAATTTTGTTAGAACACAATTATTATCATGATTATACTTTAGATTCTTTATATTTATACTAAAATGTTTATCTAGTATTTGATTATATTTATCTGCAGTTAATTACAAGAATTTAAGCATGGAGGTTTAATAAGTTATACTTATACATTATTTACTAAATTGTTTTTAGAGTTTTTATCAAATGATTTATAGTATAGATAATTATATGTATATATACATATACACAAAGAGTTTAGTTATGAAGTGCGATATTTGTTTCCATTGATAAAAAATAATGGTTGTGGATTTGTTATAATATTTATAATAAATGTTACAACATCCGTAATGAATGTTACTCCATTCCCGAAGAATGTCCCGAACACATGTCACGTTCTTACTGGTCCCTTGGTTTACAACGAAAATCAGGATTACATTCGAACATGCCACTATATATCAAATAAAAATGTTAAATAAGTTGAAAATGTAAGAAGAGAGGTTTAAAAAAGATTCACATGTGAATAATTTAAAAAATTACATCTGAAGATTCAGATGTAAACTCATATGAATAATTTAAAATACCAGTTGTCATATGCGTTTTTTAACAATTGTTCTTTTTGGATGTTCTAGTATTTCAAAATATGGACCTTCCATTTATATTCACTTTTTATCTTCTGACGATATTCAAAATTTGTATTTGAACCAAATCCTATATATAGAGGAGCGATAAAATGAAAACCACTTCAATTTGTAAAAATCGTAAAAACTACTCTCATTCGTCGATTTCATTGTTTAATCTTATGAAATTTTTTCATGAAATTGTTTAATCTTGTGAAATTGTTTCATATAATACTTTTTTGATGAAGTTGTTTCATATATGGTTATGAAATTGTTTAATATACTACTTAATGAAACTGTTTCATGTATTTCTCTAAAATTAATGAAACTGTTTCATGTATTTCTCAAAAATTAAAATAATGGAGATGATAATATCCATGATTAACATCATCCACAATAAAAATGATTAATCAACCTCTCATAATTACAAAAAAATAAACAAAATGAAAAATTATGATTAGTTGAATGAAGTTTGTACAGTTTGTACAAATTATGTGGTTTTTATTTGAACGCCCCTATATATATGTATATATATATATATATATATATATATATATTCACTTTTTCCTCTATCTGACTCAATTCGTTCACATCAACCAAAAATTCAAAAATCGTTAACAAATCACAAAATCAAAAATTTTGAATCGAATATTATAAAATATGAATCGACTACCAAAAAGTTAATTCTTCCCCACATTCAGCCAGCAAGATGATGAAAAACAATTGTATAAACATCATTAACAATTAGATGAACATATATATGTGCAAAATTATTCCAAAGGATCCGTGATATAAAATCATACTAATAAAAAACCGAAACCCTAAATTTAAGTATAAAAAACCCCTTAAATAACTCTGTCCTCATCATTGTAGTATGAAAACAACAGGGATGGAGGAAACCTCGAAAACGAGAATGGGGAAGATGTCGGAATATGAAAACCACAAACCATGAGTAGAAGCAGATCTGTTCACATTTACAAGAAACTGTCACCGCCAGAAACCATCACCTCATTCTGCAAGAAATGGATCCAACCAAAATCATCACCTCCTTCTGCAAGGAATTGATCCAACCAACAGATCTCAATTACCATATGCAAGAAACTGATGCGTTGCTACTGACGAAAGGAAAATCCAAATCCACAACGCTATAGAAAACCCCACCACAATGTTGGAGACTTCATGGTATACCGAATAAAATATGCCTCACTGAAGAAGATGTAGAAACTGACACGAGGAGAACCACAAAGAAAAGAACCCACAACGGAGAGAGCTCACTTGTGTTGCCACCGATGAAGTCTCGTGGTCTACACAGAGAGAAAGAGAGAAGAGAAGAAGAAGAAGAAACATAGAAGTTAGGGGTGCTATAACTAAAGAGTATTTGGCCTAGCAGTATATAGATTCTTAGCCTTTAGAAAATTTAGGGTTCAAATATCACCAAAGATGATGAGGGTGCATATTTTTATTTGTCAATAATTTATTGCATATAGATATTATATACTTTAAAAAAAAGTTAAAGATAATGTGAAATTAGGATTTTTGTTTAAGCATATTGAAATTAAAAGTATTCAACAAAATAAAACAATCAATTAAAAAATGATAAAATAATAAAAAGTAATAGGATAATTATTTGGTCCTCAAAGTGAAGGCTTATCATGTAACAAATAGTAATAAAAAACCAAATTTATTATAATTCACATCCTCAAGGACCAAAATTTGTGATTTACTAATTTACTCTATTAGACCTATTTATCTGTTGATATCCATTGAATGTGAGGGGACCAAATCAATGGATTCGTCTTGCCTTACACATTTATAAGGCTGTAAACGAACCGAACAAATACGAACATAGACTTGTTCATGTTCGTTCGTTTAACTTAACTAAATAAACGAACGAACATGAATGATAAACGAACAAAAATCTTTGTGTTCGTATTCGTTCGTTTAGAAATCAGGTGTGTTCGTGTTCGTTTATGTTCGTTCCTTAACATGCTAAACGAACATAAACGAACGGGCTAAACGAACATAAATGAATATTATTTGAATTCAAAGTTAATAAATAAAAGATTATATATTAAATTTAATATATAAATAAAGATAAATGAACGAATATAAGCAAACGTAAATAACCGGTAAATGAACGAACATTTATGAACATAAATGAATGAACGAGACTCGTGCTCATGTTCGTTCGTTTGACTAAACGAACAAAAAAATGTGTTCATTTATTAAATAAACGAACTTTCCGCCGAACGGTTCACGAACGGTTTCCTAAACGTTCGGCTTTTTTTACAACCATTTGATTACATTTCCTGTTTCTAATTCAAATTTTAATACTTACCTATTTTAATTTGTTTGAAATAAATTGTAACTTAAATCAAAATATTTTTAATTATTGATATGAAATTTTCACTTCTAACCAAAACTAATTTCAGATTTTACTGGACATGGTAATTTCTACCTATTTAATAAATCTGCTATCATAAAACATTTGACAAAAACAAGAAAATATATCAGTTAATCAATTAAATCAGAACCGTTTCAAATTGATTTATCAGTGGATTTATTTTCAGTCGTTATCCAACTTGTCCACATATTTTTTTTCCCATTTAATATAAAATAATTATAATCATTTTTTAATCATATTATTCAAACTTTGGCCGATTTAACTTTAATTTGAATGCCATTTGTCGTTTGAATTTTTTTGTGATTGCGATATTTAGTCGATGACTTTTAACTCTTTATCTTAATTAAAACACTAATCTATTTAACGTCAAGAGCCAGCAAGTTGGTTTAATTTATGCCTGACTTTAGATATTTAAGCCTAATTATTATGAATATAAAAACTTAATATATATATATATATATATATATATATATATTTATATAATGGGTTAAATGCATGAAATAACAACCTATTTTCATAAAATTTCTTATTATAACATTCTATTTTTGTTTTTCTTTATTACAACAATATACTTTCAAATTATTTTTATTAAGGCATTGTTCTTTAAAAATCTACCCATAATAACAATGAGTAACCTGTTACATTTTAAACCGGTTAACCCTTTGGCTTTTTTGTTTGTGTGGTTTTAATGAGGTGATGTGGATGACACATCATTTTAATGACTTAACTAAAATTAAAATAAAAACCTATTTCAAATTATTATTAGTGATTTTTATTTTTCATTGCTACTATCTAAAAAACATTTATTTTTTTTATTTTTTTTATTAAGTTACATTCAAATTAGATATTTTTAGAGTAAAATATTTATTAAATAAATATGAAACATTATTTTTGAGATATATTTTGTTTGTAAAAAAAGTAATTTTTTCCTATTTTATGTTGTTCAAATAAATACATATCTTTTAAAATTTTCTTTAAAATACTAACGAAATAAATTGTTCTCTACAATTTTTTAATATTGTTATATTAATAAATAATTCAAAAAAATATAGTTAATTTAATATATTTGTACATCAATTAAAAAGTTTTTGAACAAAATATAATATATTTTTTAAAAGATAATATTATTTGGTAAAAAAGAAACAATTCTTATTTTCTTTTTTTTAAAAACATATATTTTTTTAAAAATATTAGCGAGATAAGTTGTGTTCTACTAGTTTTATTAATATTGTATATTAATGAATAATTCATAATTTTTTTAATTCAATTAATACATTTATTAAATAACATGTAAAATATCTAAATATTAAAATTAAAAATACAGTGTTTAATAAGAACTAGTAGATGCTATAATAAAATAATTTTGAAAGTACAATAATGTAGTAAGAAAGTCACATCACTATAGTACATGTAGATAGCCTACGTGGACAATGAGGTGACATGAAAACCTAATATAATGGGTAAATTTAAATCAAAAGGTTACACAATGCTATAATGGGTAAATTTTTCAAAGTACAATGTCCTAATAAAAAATAATTTGAAAATACATTGCTATAATAAGAAAAACTGAAAGTACAATCCTATAATAAAAAAATTTATGAAAGTAAATTGTCATTTTGTGCATTTTGCCCTTATATAATTTATCTTGTATTTTCAAAATAGTAATAATAATAATAATAGTAAAAAGATTAGACATGTAATTCCGTCTTGATCCTAATAAGTTTCATTTAAATCTGATAAAATTAAGTTAAATCTGATTATTTGAATGTCGATTAATTGACTTGTTATCTTTGTATGCTTAAAATTCGTATTCGACAAATCTTTTCACGTAAGTTGATTGACATGTCTCCTGCGACTTACTGGACAACACCCATGTGTTGGATTCAAAAGTAAAATCTTTGGACTATCGTGTTTTGATACAGACCACTCGAAAATCTCCTACTAAACCAGATTCTGATCTTACTGTTTATGATTTTCTATTTTTAAAGCTTAATTCAGTTTTTATTTATCCCCACTATAAAAATAATAAAACCAAACCTAACAACTACCACAAATGAATCAACAACATATCTTGTGGCTATGGAGAAACTATCACCAGAAAACTCAATCATTGGTCTATAACAACTGCCACAAATCCCCTCGTATTTAATTTCTGTAATCATTTGAATTTGGCTGGCTAAGTGATCAGGATATTGAGTTGATTATATCATCAGCGGATGAGGTCTATGATTTATTTCACCCATCGAAATAGTCAGTGGCGGATTTTTGGCAAAAGTGAATGAAAAATTGACTTTTATTATCCCATCAAAATCCGTCAGAAATTTCCTTTCGTGAAAGTCCATTTTTTGGTAGTGTCAAATGGTTTGGTCAAAACTATCCTAAAAAAACCAGCCCATCTTAAAAGTTTGGACCGATATAAGACTGATGTTTAATCCGGTTCGACCTAATGGCATCTTAATCTGATCAGGAACGTGTCCGATCCAAATTGATCCTTTTGCCCATCTCAAGGTTGTCAAGACCAACCACAAGGGTGATGCTTGATTGGTTTGAGTTTAACTCCAAAGATCAAAAGTACCAAGAGATCTCAGGTTCAAATCCAAGGAGAAAAAAAAATCCCCTTGTGGCCACGGAGGTTCAAATGTGCCGACTCCGGGCTATCTACAAAACAGGTGGTCGCCCTGGGATTAGTCGGCTCGCATAGCGGGTTGGATATTCAGGTTAATCAGAATAAAAAAAAAGGTTATCAAGACCTCTCGGTAAGATAATTATAGACTCGTTATTCCACTTGAATAAAAATTTTACGAACCATTTTGTGTCACAATTTAATTAAATTGTTCCCGGTCGACATTGATACATATCTCAACTTTGATTTTGTCTTTTACAATACATAATTATTAAAACTTAAATATATCACAACACAAGCATGGCTCCGGCGGCCGGTCCTCCACCGTTGACAACGGTGCCGCCGTGTGTCACATTCGTATTATTAAATAAGAAATGGAATCAAGATGACCAAATCAGTCCAAAAACACAAGATCACGGTCGATTTTGATTTTCTTTTTTAAATGTCTTTTTCTAAAAAAAATAATCCATTAAATCATGGGTTTATTGTATTACCCCCTAACCACACTCAACCACTTTCCATTTGTGTGGTGTACCAAAGAAATCAATAATAGTTTTTGATGTTGATGTTAAATTTGACAATTTCGAACTTTGTTTAATAATAAAAACTAATTTGATTTATATTTTATTGTTGACGTGTTAAATAAATACAAATAAAAATAATAATTAAAAGGGTTTTTAATTCAACAATTTATAAATCGGTTAATTTGTAGTTAATTTCTTTTTGAGTTTAAAAAAAAAATTAAACACCTTGAAAAGATAAGAAGGAAAGGTTAATTTTTTTTATTTAAAAATATGTATCTTTTTTTTTCTTTTAATAGTTTAATCTTCTTAAGTTTCAACTAGTTGTGTATCCGTGCAATGCAGTGGAAGCTGTGAATTTTAACGATTTTGAAGTATCACTGGTTTTATTAAAGAAGATTTAATGATGATATAAGTTACACTTGGTCTTTTTGTATTAATACAATTTGGATAAATAAGAGTTATGGTTCCAATTACAGTCTATCGATGAAAAAAATTATATGACCGTTTCAAATCCAATATATTTGAAATCCAACATATTTAAACGACTTCACAAATGTGTTCAATTTACACCAAGAGCAAAGAATCAAGAAATGGAGAGCGAGACCGAGAGTTCTAAAGCAATTAAATGAGAGATGAATGAGAGAGCTTTTAATAATTTATGATGAATATCAGTTTGAAGCTCACATTGGGGGATGTGGAGAAAACATAGAAGTATGAGAAGGTGAAGACATGAGTGAAATGTGTCAAGAGTTATCTTGGGAACATGAAAAGAAAAAGTAATAATGTGCATTGATAACTTGTATTATATGTTATTTTAATTGTAGATTAAAAGATTTTAAGCCTGAATGCATAAAGTAGTAGTACTTAATGTATTATGAGTTGTTTTCAAGATTTTGTGCATAAATGTATAGTACTTTGTACATTAAAAATTACTTTTAAGACTTTTGATAGATTAAAATAGTCATTTTTACCGGTTGATTTCACCTCTTAGCCACTTCTTTACATGGTTTACCAAAATAGCCCTAGGTCCACAATATTAAATCTTTTTGCGGACTTGAGTGAGAAATGTAAATTTTTTACCGACAAAGGTAGAAAGTGTAATTTTTTTTTTGTCTTTTAGTTGGGTCCGCCGTCACCGACGTGAATTTTATGGATCTATGACTATTTTGGTAAACTTGAATAAAAAAATAAATAAAAAATAAAATCAAGCCTAAAAAATAGTTATTTTAATAAATTTCCATAAATTAAATTACCGACGGTCAAAATAGTAGATAGAATAAAGCAAGTACAGTTTTTGTCTATTCTTTTGAATTTATATATAATTAATTATTAAATATGATTAACTTTTTTTCTGAAGTAATAAATGTGATTAATTATAACAAATATATTTTAAAATCATGATATGATTTTATTAAATCATAAAATTTAGGTGAGTATGGATATTTTAGTAATTTTTAGGTGTGTTTAATTTATTTTATTTTAAATTAAATCTTTTTCATCAGATGTTATACTTTTTTTTGAAGTATATAATATTTATATACGGCAAATGCAACAAATAAATTCACACACCCTCCTCACCTATGGTGAGGTTTGAACCCCTGACCTCTTAGAAGGCCAAAGACTATGATACCGCTAGACCAAAGGCCATTTTGTATGTTATCCTTTGTGGTGTTTTAGAAATATCTGTGTTTTTTAATAGTCT